ATTCGATTTGCTAGTATTTTGTTGAGGATTTTTGCATCGATGTTCATCAGTGATATTGGCCTGTAATTTTCTTTTTTTGTGTTGTCCTTGTCTGGTTTTGGTATCAGAGTAATGTTGGCTTCGTAGAATGAGTTAGAAAGCTTCGCCTCCTCTTCAATTTTTTGGAATAGTTTGAGAAGGAGAGATATTAAATCTTCTTTGAATGTTTGGTAGAATTCACCAAGGAAGCCGTTTGGTCCTGGACTTTTATATTTGGGGCGGTTTTTGATTACTGTTTTGATCTCCTTACTGGTGATTCATCTATTCAAATTCTCTATTTCTTCTTGATTCAGTTTTGGAAGGTTGTATGATTCTAAGAATTTATCCTACAGATGGCCAACAGGCACATGAAAGGATGTTCAACATCATTAGCTATCAGGGAAATGCAAATCAAAACTACAATGAGATATTACCTTACTCCCATCAGAATGGTTATAATTAACAACACAGGAAACAAGTGTTGGAGAGGATATAGAGAGAAGGAAACTGTCATACACAGCTGGTGGGAGTGCAAACTAGTGCAGCCACTATGGAAAACAGTATGGAGATTCCTCAAAAAATTAAGAATAGAACTACCATATGATCTAGCTGTTCCACTGCTGGGTATTTATCCAAAGAACATGAAAACACAAATGAGTAAAGATACATGCACCCCTGTGTTCATTGCAGCATTATTCACAATAGCTAAGGCTTGGAAACAACCTAGGTGCCCATCAAGGGGTGAATGGATAAAGAAGATGTGGTATGTATACACAATGGAATACTACTCAGCTATAAGAAATGATGAAATCCAGCCATATGTGACAACACGGGTAGACCTTGAGGATATTATGCTAAGTGAAATAAGTCAGAGGGAGAAAGTCAAATACTGTATTATCTCACTCATAAGTAGAAGATAAAAACAACAACAAACAATCACATAGAGACAGAGATTGGATTGGTGGTTACCAGAGGGGAAGGTGAGAGGGAGGGGGGGCGAAAGGGATGATTAGGCACACGTGTGTGGTGATGGATTGTAATTAGTCTTTGGGTGCTGAACGTGATGTAATGTATACAGAAATTGAAATATAATGATGTACACCTGAAATTTACATAATGTTATAAACCAATGTTACTGCAATTGAAAACAAAACTAAACTAAAAAACAAAAAAAAAAAAAAAAAAAAAAAACTAAAAAAAAACACCAAGAAAAATTATTGAGTATTCCAGGGAGCTTTTGTGTATGTGGGTTACACCTATTCATATTTACATTAGAAATTTAAAAATTTTATAATACTTATTAATTCACTTAAAGTAGCAAACCCATTATATATTCACATTTTTTAAATGGAAAATAATTATATGTTCCAAAAAGAAGCTAGTGAGAAGAATGATATCATTTTTAAAATTTTCGCACACCTCTTTAGAAGAAGACAGCTTAAAAGAAGACAGATGGATTCTCATATCTAATTCTGCATTCAGTGTGTTGTATGTTGTTTTGGTTGAATGTGTGCAGAAAATCCAGTCTCATACAGATAAGTAGTTGGCAAGGGGAGGAATATATTAACAGTCTTTAGAAGTCGATGTGGGTAGTCTTCTTTGATAACCCACCAAAACTCAACAAGTGGAGGTTTCTTAAATATTAGTTGCACTATAGAATCTGAAAACTTATCAATGAATCCTTTGGGTCTATCATGAAATCTGACAGGATCTTTTATCCAGGCATGATTTTGTAACTTCATCTATTGGTCATTTGGAAAATATTGATTCACTGAGTTATCCACATGTTCCAAATGCTGACACATTTTATTATCTAATATATATACATACAGTCACATTTATTAATATCACCATTGATCTCATCAGAAAAGTCTTTAAGTATTGGGAGACTGTCAACTTACAGTGGCAGACACAAATGTACCAAAATTCTAATTTTTGCTTGAAATCTCCAATTTTATTATGCCAACAAATCCCTTTGGGTTTTTTCCTTGAAGTGAAAGGTTCGCTCTGTTCATTTTCGAGAAAATGTCTGCCTCATGTACCCTAGCATGAATATCCATAGTTGGGCTGTTATTTGTTCTTTCAAGTAAAAATGATGCTCCATGAAAAAAGTGGCTAGTCCAGCTCGCCACTCCATCGTACAAATGCTTTTCCTTGAAACAACCATGGTTGAGATTTAATAAAATGAACACTTCTCACTGCTTCATTAAGAATTTTCTCGTGGATCATTTATTCATTTTGAAAGAATCTACTGTGAAGAATACAATGACGGCCAGTGCAGTTTGGTGCCACTGCCTTTGTTCCTGCTAAGACACTCGCAGTTTTACCCACTGTTGATTTTGTGTCATAGTGTAAAAATCAGCAGTGAGGAAGAGGAGGATCTGGGGATTCTTGGTTTGCGGGGTGCTTCCTGTGGTGGGTGGCTCAGGGTATATTATTCTGGAAATTGTGTTGACCTCATGGAGCTCCTGAATGGTCTTGGAGACTCCCAGGTTTCCTGTACCACTCTTTGAGAACCACGGCCTTAGGTGATGCATTATTTGAAGCACATGTGTGTGCCTGCCTGCTTTTCTTTTCCTTTCCTTCTTTTCCACAGGAGGACTCTTGGAAGACGCCAGGCTGATGTGGAGCCTCAGGCCCGGGTGAGGAGTGAGGTGGGGACACTCAGGAAGTGAACTGCTCTGGATAGAGATGTGAGAGTGGGCTGGGGAGGGTGACCAGGGCCAGGTCATCCAGAACGTAGCAGGTCTGTTAGGATTTTAGTCCTAAGTGCCAGAACCAGAGGGACACAGCCCACGCTGCACTCTTCCTCCCTCCTGACCCTCATCCAGAACAGGCGTTTGCCTCAGGGAGCCCCTCAGCCTATTGCTCCCCAAGAATTTGTTGGTCTCTAGGTAGGCCCTAGGCTCTACCTGCTTCCTCTTCACTTAGGCAGCCACCACCCAGTCTCTCCTTAGGGCTTCCCATTCTCCAAGCCCCTCTGCAGAAGGGAACCAGGCTCCTTACTCCCTAACTTGATGCCCCAGAGGTGAGCCCCCAGGCCTTCTCATTGTGAGAGTTTTACTACCAGTCAGGATGGAGAGACAGCAGAGGCATGGAGAAACAGAGCAAGTGACAAGGTTCAGGAACCCTACACGTCCCTCCAGTGTCGGTCCCCAGGCTTCAGTTCTTCATCTCCTCCATCTCTTCTCCAGGCCTGCCCCGTTTCCACTCTTGCCCCAGGATGAGCTCATGAACCCCCTGCTCTCCTCACACTGCTCCAGGCGCCTTTCTCCCCAGCCCTGGGCCTGGGTGGATGGACTGGGGAGGATAGCAGATGGAATTGGTGTATTCTGGGGTCCCTTCAAGGGGACTTTTCTGGGGACCATGGGCCTGAAGGTGAGGCTTCAGCTCCACTCAGAGCAACTTGTGTGGACTTGGGGCATTCCCTCAGAAGTGTCCATCTAGCAGTCTCAGGAGGCTGCCCCACCTGCTGGTAGGTGAGGGCCCAGCAGGTCCCTGTGGAGACACATGTCCTATTGCACTTGTGAAAAGTGTCATGTGGAGTTTCCCCTGTGAAGATTCAAGGGCTCTGGGAGACCAGAGCTGCAGACTGTGGAACACATTAGGTGATGACTCTAATTTGGCCTTCAGCTGGGAGTGGGCAAGGGGCTGGAGATTCTTGGTTTGTAGGAGGTGTCCTGAGTGGGTGACAGCTTGATGCTAAGGTGGGGGTGGTGGATGAATGTGCCAGTGGCCGCAGGGTCAAAATAAGTTCTAGTGATGATGACACCTTCTGTGCTGCTTCCTGGAAAGTACCTTTCTATTTCTCTGCCTCCATCCTGTCCCTGCTGGTGACCCTGGTGGAAGGGGTGCATGGGACATGGTATTGGTGAGTGACCTCCACCCACAGCCTTCACAGTCCTACAGCAGATCTGTCTCCACGGGCAGCAAGTCCCTAGATGTCGGGACACAACCCCCATGTCCCTCCTCAGGCACCGCCAGTTTGGCTGGGCTTCCTGAGGTCTGGGGATGGGGAAGTTGCTCAGGGAGCATTGGTCAATCTCATCTTTTCCCAGGGAGGAGGTACCTGGGCTTAGTCACAGGGCGGGTCCCTGTGCTCTCAGCCAGAGTCTGGTCTCACCTAGTTCCTCTCGGTGCTATGGACAGAGCCGGCTCAGAGCCTCAGAACTCTGCTCTCCTCCTCCTCACTACGTTTTGTTAGGGATCCTGGGCTTTCCTCTTCTCTCTGGAAAGCCAGAGCCCCAGTGCTCCTTCCCAGGGATGGAGTGCCCTCTAGTGCACAGGAGAGTGACGGCCAGAGGAGGCAGCAGCTGGAGAAGGGCAGGGCCAGAGGCCAAGTCTGGAAGGGAGGAGCGCCAGCCAATGAGGGGTGAGCCGCCTACACCCTGACCTTTGGGGCTGGGACAGCACGGGACCCACAGGTATTCTGAGTGTGAGTGTGAGTGTGAGTGTGTTTCTTCTTGAGAAGCCCTCTCTCTCCAAAGGGACAGGACTCCACCAGATGGAGTGTTAAGATCAGGAGATTTCCCCTGCACTAGACCTGGGGTGCTCTCATTCCTGTACTCCCCCAGCTCACCCTATCCCCAACTGGGAAGTTCTCTGTGCTAGACCCATCCATGTGCCTTTGGATTTCTTGGTTCTAGTATTCCTGGATCTTACAGCCCTCTTCTTTAAGAATGGGGGTCAGTGATCCTACATGCAGGGTTAGTGTGAGGATTAAATAAGATTGCATGTGCGAATGTCCATACAGGCCTTGCGCATAGTAGGCACTCAATGAAATCAAGTTGCCCAGGGAAACAGGATGAGGGTGTTGACTGTGATGACCACCTGAGGTGTGCTGGGACCAGAGAAGTCTGGCCAGGTGCTGACCCTCAGGAGGAGCACAGTTTGGTGGGGAGGCAGACAGGGGCACCAGGCAGTGGGGTGGGTGCCCCGTTTGAGGGGTGAGCACTGTAGGGTTAACTGTCAGTGTTTCTCCTAGGGCTGCAGTCCACACTTTCCCTGTCAGTGTTCTGGGACCACTTGAGGATGCTGCGGTGGCTTCTTGTCTTCTCTGCTCTGGGTCTCGGGGCCTGCGGTGAGTTTTCCTTCTTGGATCAGAGAGTAACTGAGAAGGATCATCCTGAAGTCCCATAACAGGAATTCTTTAAATGCTTGCTTTCCCTCAGGGAGAAAGAATAGCTTTGCGTTTAGAGCTCAGGACTTGGAGTCTGTAGATCGGGATTTGAATCCTCGCCTTGCCTCGAGCAAAGATTTTGAACAAGTTATTCAGCTCTTTCACCCTTAATTTTCCCATCTGAAAATTGAGAAAAGATTATGCTCTCCTAAGCTTATTGTGAGGATTAAATGCAATAATGCACATGAAGGACTTCGCACTTGGGCAATGGGAACAATGATTGTATTTGTATTATTATCATGTCAACCAGAGTCAACCTATGCCTGGGGTTTGTGCTTGTCAATAAGAGAAGTTCCTTGTGGGTAGGATGTCATCCCCATGGGCCCCACACAGGAGCACAGGCATAGCAAGCGCCCCCCAAATCAATCACACCTCCCAGAGAAACTGACTTGATTTGTGTAGGTTATTCTGATCCTTTCTCCACATAGTCTCCCCCGTCGCTTCCGTTAGGTAAATCCACACAAGAGAGGACTTGGTGGTTGAAGTGCTTGGATGCATTTCCAGGTTGGATTTTTTTTTTGCCAATTGTGTGTGTAGATGCAGCTTGTGAGAAAAGGACAATATTTCCAACTCCTTGCCCTTGGCTCTTTAACTATCTCCCTGGGGGATAACCTGGGTTGGTATTGGAGAAAACCACGCCATGTGCTGCTACTGGAGGTGGCCCTCTGGTCAGCCTGGAGGTCAGCCTTGTGATGGGGCTCAGGGATCTTAGGAGACAGAGGGGTCATGGAGAGGGGGAGGCCACTTCTGGCCTGAACCTGTGCCTCTGAGATGGCTGGTCCTGGGGCTCCCTGAGGACTGAGGCAGAGTGGAAGGTTCCTTTGCAGGTGATTCCTCCTGGGATGAAACACAAGCTCAACACTTGTCAGAGGGGCTTCAGTACCTGTTTGGCAACGTCTCCCAGCTCATTGAAAAAGGCAAACTGGGTGTCGGTGGTGAGGAGGCCTGAGAACTGGCTGGGGTTTCTTGTGTGACCAGAAGTGGTGCTCAGATCTGAGAGCCACTTGTGGCCCCGATGGGGGCGGGTGGGGCTGAGATGCAGAGAGGTGAACTGGCAAACCACCAGCATGGATGGCCATGGGCCATAGGGGCTGGGGGTGGTGCTGGGAAAGGTCAGAAACCCAGGGACAGGAGAGGCAGCCTCTGCACCCAGGAGCCCCCTCGCCTGGGTATGGAGACCCACACCTTGCCCTCAGGGAGTCCTCAGACTGAAGGGAAGACCCAGGCCCTACCTGGAGGGAACCCCCAGGCTGAGGAGGAGATGTAGCCCCTCCCAGGGAGCTCGGAGCAGGACAAAGGACACAGTTAGAGTCACAGAGAAAACTGTCAGTGAGCATAGTGCAAATGGAGGGCATTAGTGCTGAGGTGAAACTGAGAGGGGTTGCTCAGGGCTTTCCCAGAGTGAATGGTGAGGAGATGCTTCCTAAAGCAGGGGGGCCTAGAGCAGAGCAGGGAAGAAGCTGCAGGATGGGATCTGTCTGTGATGGGGGACGTACTGGGATCAGGTAGCAAAGCATCTTGGCTTCTCTGGGCAGGTGTAGACTCTGCATTGGGGGTGAGTGGAAGTGAAATGGGAATGTGGAAGTGAGAAGAGGAGGGTTGCCTGCCGGCTGAAGACCTCTTCCTAGGGATCTCCCACCACCATGGGGCAGACACTGTCCAGACGGCACGTGTGGCCCAGGGGGCTAATGCGGTAACAATGGGGCAAGATACACCCCCCTGTGGTTACCCGACAGCTGTCTCCACTATGGTCTCTCGCAAGGAGTGGGGGGCGGAAGCTGTTGGCTGCGGCACCAAGCTGACCATGCCAGTGAATTTTCTTGTCACGCATCATGTTCCTGGACTGGAGTGTCACAACCAGACTGTCTGCAGTCAGAGGCTGCGGGAGCTGCAGGCCCATCACGTGCACAACAACAGCTGGTGCGACATGGCCTACAAGTAAGAGGCTGGGCTGGAGGCATGTGGAAGGACGTGGTCAAAGCTGCTCCTTAGGGCATTTCTCTCTCCCCTTCTCATCTCTGTTTTCCTTATTTTCCGGGTTGAGGTTATATCAGGTTTATAATGAATAAAACAGTAAAAAACCCTATAAAATTCCAAATCCTTTGGAACTTTTATGAGATCCTTGACTCCGAGATCTCCTAAAAGGGAGCAAGGAAGGTTAAGTAATAACTATACTTTCTATTTGCCTCATACCTGGTTCACACAGCACATGACAGGTTATGAATGACTTCCATGGATGTGAGCGCATTTGCTCCCCCGACAAGGTGTGAGGTTGTAAGGCAGGCGTTACCATCTCTATGCTGTGGGTGAGGGGACCCAGCTCAAAACTGGCTCTTTGCCTGCTGCCTGTCCCACTGCACTGCATGTAGGGGCTTTCACGTGGGTGAGGCATCTCGTACCCCAGAGGTCACTCTCATAGACCCTCTTGGTGCCCAGGACCACAAGCCCTTGGCCCATCTCTGACTTCCGCTGTGGACAGTTCCTGTGCATGGTGATGGCTTTCTGCCGCAAGTGCCCAGTGCATCTCTGTTTTCTGCTTCAGGCTTTCACCCAAGACCCTGATAGTGAAGGGGAGTTAATGTAGCTCTGGGGGGTGGGAGTTGTAGAAAACTTCCTCAGTCCCCAGCCCTTCTGAAGGGCAATTCTAAGGTGCATATGCACGGTTACTTGGAAGATCACGTGTCGGCAGAGTGACTGAGCCCCAGGTGGTCATGGTGAAGCCAGCCCAGTTCCACCCACTTTGTTGGGTTTATTCCTTCTGCCTCACTCTCCATGTTCCCTCACTCTGGCTCCAGGGATCTCTTCCCAAATAAACCGCCTGCATCTATGTCCTTGTCTGAGTCTCTCCTTCCTGGGAAGTCTATGTAAGACGATCACCCTGGCAGGGAGAAAGCACATGAACAGGTTGTGTGGAGATTACACAGGCAGCATGCATTTTGGAGGAAGGAAGAGAGTCATGTTTGAGGAAATGTGGAAGCTGAGAAGAATCTTACATTGTGTGTTTGGGTCTGTGTTAGCTACTGTGGTGGCTCCAGGACTTCTCCTTCTGAGCTTGCAGGGTGATTTATATAAAACCTGGGTGTCTGAACAAGGGAGGGAGGTGGGAAGCATGGGAGTGGGTCCTTCTGAATTCTAAGGATGAGTATAAATCACTTGGTCTTTCCATTGTCTGTGATGAATCCTTGCCAAGTCCCTTTAGTGAACATGACTGTAGTCCTCCTCCCGTTGGAGGTTGGGTAAGTGGTTCTTCTTACAGGGATGTGCTATGGGCCAGCCACTAAACCTGTATTACCCTGTCCCACAGCTTCCTGGTTGGGGACAATGGCAGGGTGTATGAAGGTGTTGGCTGGAACATCCAAGGCATGCACACCCAGGGCTACAACAATGTCTCCCTGGGCTTTGCCTTCTTCGGCACCAAGGAAGGTAATGGTCATCTCAGCTTTCCCTTCTATGAAGAGTTATCTACTTTGTTTCTACACTCTCTCCTCACCCTTGTCATACTTCCCTGATGATCCACTGTCTCCTGGAATTCTGCTTTCCCCTGACTTCCATGAATGGCATTGGCGGTCCTCCTCCTACTGCTCTGGGATCCCTCTGAGCCTCCGTGGCAGGATTCTCTTCCTCTGGCCATCTCACAGTGCAGGTGCTAGCCAAGCTTCTCCCCACAGCCTTGTTCTCGTCCTGGGAGGATCTGGTCTTCAGCTCTCACTTCTGTGTCAATGACTATCACATCTTCCTCTCTAGCTCTGTCACTTTCTTTTGCTAGGCCATGCTTTCTCATTTCCTGCCAGGCATCTCTCTTACTCTGAGATTTTCTATACAATTATTAAAAACCACTTGAGGCCTCCAATCCCTGAGTCCCTTCCACTTTCTTCTAGTCTCATTGCTGCCCCATCCCACCCACATCCTAACATACATGCTCCAGGACCATCCGTTGACTTTCTGCACCCTTGATTGGTAACAAAGCTCTTGCACATCTAGTTTCTCATTGATCCCTCCCAATACCCTTTGAGATAGTCCAGATAAGTTTCATGGTCATATGACACAAAGGTGCAGCCTGAGTTTCAGAGAGGTAAGTGACCCAGGTGACACAGCTGTAAGGAAAAGAATCAGAACATGAGCCCACATCTTCCATTTCCAGCTCCAAGGCAGTTTCCAGAATGCCACAGGACTCTTTGTTTTCAGCTTGGTTTGTTTTCATGACCACTCTTTGCCTCCTGGGCATCACCTTGTTAGCTGTGGAATCTTGAGCACATTACTTCTCAGAGCCTCAAGTTCCTCTTTGTGAGTGATGGGGTTCATAATGGAATCTACCTCAGAGGTGAGGATTAAAGAAGTTAATGCAGGTAAAGAGACTGGCACATGCCTGGAAGGGCCCTATCGATGGAAACTCTGACCTAGCCAAGTGGGTATCCCTGAGCATGGCACTGCCTTCCAGCTCTTCCACAGAGAGAGAGGGTGGATGAAGGAGGTCTTGGCAGGTCATTGGGAAAAGTCTTCACCTTGGGCCACTGAGTCTCCATCCAGGTGGATCCTTGACTCTCAGGCTTTCCGACCTAGGAGATGAGGCTATTCCCCTCCAACAGCTATGCAGGGGCTGGCAGGGCATCTCGTCCTTTCCCAAAGCCCCCTGAAACTTAGGCCAGACTGAGGTTTCCCACAGATCTCTCTCTTCCAGGCCACAGTCCCAGCCCTGCTGCCCTGTCAGCCATGGAGGGCCTGATCTCCTACGCTGTCCAGAAGGGCCACTTGTCATCCACGTATGTTCAGCCACTTCTTGTGAAAGGCGAGGACTGCCTGGTCCCTCTGCAGAAGGCAAGTCCCAAGAAAGGTAAGACCTTCAAGCCCACTGGGCCTCCCTCCAGATTCCCCCCCACCAACTTCCAAACACCGTGGGAGTGACCCTTCCAGTCAGGCTCCCATTGGATTCCATCTGACAGGCAACTGGTCATCCAGCTCTCTGAACCTTTAGGACTGGAAAACCTTGAGAGGGATCCTCCAGGTCACCTCTTTATCCTTCAGATTCCTAGAATGATAGAACCATGCACTATGTGTGGTGTAATACATGTGCACTCACTTCTTTAATCATTCAACAATTATCTACCGAGCACCTGCTAGTTATTGAAGATATTCCAAGCAACAAAAGACACAAAAGCAGTGCCCTCATGCAGTTTCAATCTAGAGGGAAAGACAATAAACAAATAAACAAGTGAAATATTTGGTATGTTTTATGGTGAAAAGTGTTATGGAAGAAAAAGAACCATGGAAAGGTACAGGATATACAAACACACAAGCACAAATGCACATCTTTCTGAACGCAAAAGCTAGAACAACACTAATAGCCTGAAGTGCTTAAGTCACCACTTGCACTGACTTCAGAGGAAGAGTTTAACATAATTCAGGTAATAAAAAGTAGATAAAATTTAGATTATGGGTTTAACAAGCAGGAACATCAAAACCAGTATAGTTAACAAGCACCTTCAGCCTTTTCTTGGGCTTAATAAAGTTGTAAAGAAAATTAGCTCTGTTATATAAAGCTCTGAGTGAATTTGATCTCTGCCTTTGGATTGGTGCCATCTGTCAATATTAATAACTGCTTACATTGACAGAGAGTTTTGTGGCCTGCTAGCGACTTTCAAAGACATGTTTTCAGAAGAAAATTCAACTGATTTCTCCAAAAGGGCCCTGTTACACATGTACACACACACATGAAACAATCATGCAGACAAATAAGTACACCTTGCTCTTAGAATAGACCACCCATGTCCCCTCAGGATCAACATTCCCACTGTCCTTTGCATTCTGTTTTTTGGGTTAGAACCCATGGATTTATGGTTCCTGCCTCTTGACTCCAATCCCTCTCTGCAGACTTACCCTGTCCCCAGGTGGACCATTCCGAGAGTTGCTGGGCTCTCTCGAGTTCCACACTCAGGGTCAGGTCAGGATGCCCAGAGGGTGGTGGGGATGTTCAGTAGTGAGGTAGTTGACATGGGTGGGCAAAATGAATCCTAATGTCCACGTTTTTTGCCCCACCACAGGTTGCCCCTACATTGTCCCTCGGTCTGCTTGGGAGGCCAGGGAGGCCCACTGCCCCAGGATGAACCTACCGGCTAAGTACGTCATCATCATCCACACCTCTGGGAGAACCTGCAACATGTCTGATGAGTGCCGCCTCCTGGTCCAAGATATCCAGTCCTTTTTGATGGACAGACTCAACTTATGTGACATTGGGTATAAGTAAGTCTACTTGAGGATACATGGGCTTCTTTTCCCTTGGGGGCAGTCACTGAACCTTTGAAAGGGAGGGGAAAGGGGACTAATATTTACTGAGTGCTCACCATATAGAGGTGCTCCATATATAACCACACTGATTTCTCACACAACCCTGGGTGGGCCTTAGTTAGGATAAAGCCAAAGGAGTGGTCATTTCCCTTGAGCATGTTCTCAAAATGTGAGTCCTTTTTAAAGGTCATGTATTGACATGATGGAGGCCAAGGGTTTGCTTAAAAGATATTAGAGGAAGTTGTATGCATGCAAGGTTGTGAAACCCGTAGAAAGGATAATCTAAAGGGTGTGCCTTTTTCATGCAATCGCCTCCCACTACTCAGTGGCTCAGGCTCTGCCCCTCGGTTTGGCCACAACCGGAAGTTTGTTCTCCTTCGTTTTAGACTGTTCCTCTGCATCTGGGAACTGTCAACCTGCTTGGGGAGAATATCTTTCCTGTCTGAAGGCAGAGGCGAGACCAGATAATAGCTTTTGATTTCCCTAATGCCAAGGTCCGTATATCTTTAATAAAGAAGGCATCAACCTAACAGGAGAGTAGAAACTTCTTGAAGGGGGCCTGCAGATAAGATGTCTGGGATTAGACGCCGTCTAATGTCCCAATAGAAACAATCACACTGAATTTTAAGTCTTAAGATGGGCCACCACTAGCCCAGAGGGCATATTGGTACATAACAATCAAAGGAGCCCTTCTCTAGGGGTGTTCATGGCTTAGCTAGTGCAGTTGGATTTTAGTCCCTGCTTGCCCCCACGCTAGGCACCTCTGTGCAGGGTGCAACCACCAACCTGTATGCAGAGGCCCTGCCTTAGATGGATTTGCCATTACTTGATACATGCTTCTGGGCTGACTGCCTCTCCTCTCTCTGTCCCCATTTTAGTAACAACCCTTTCAAGATAGGAGAAAACTTTTTCTTCAACGTCTGTTGTCTATCAGGACCTACCGTATGCTTTGTTAGGTTCTGCTATGCAGGATTATTCACAGCATTGCTCTGTTTAATTAGAGCAGATACCTGAAAATTGACTATAAAATTGGAAATCCTAACCTGGAAAATGATAGAGGCTGAGGGAATTCCTTTCCCTTTTCCCATTCAGGTTTCAGAGGGCAGTTTCCTGTCCCTAGGTTTGGCCTTTTATTGTGTCTTCTGTACCATAAGTTAGTGACCATGCTGTTGCTTGCCTTGAGATGGTCTGCAGTCAGGAGGAAACACCCACTTGGGATAAATTAATTCACTGAGCACATGATTGAGTGCCTACTCTGTGTGGGCACTAGGATCTGCTCTGTGGACGCCATCAGATGTAGCTCAGATATGGTTCTTGCCTTCTTGGGGCTAAGACTCTGGTGAAGGAAAAGATAATTATGCAAAAAAATCCTAATAGAGTACATTAAGGGTTATGATAGAGGATGCATGGGGTGTAAACAGGAGGTGTTTTTTTAACTCTCGTTAGGTCTCTGAGGGAATGGGTGTGAAGGAAGCACTACCTGAGGGAGTAACATATTATCTGGGACCTAAAGGATGAGTAGGGGCTGGTCAGAGGAGGGAGAAGTGTTTCAGGCAGATGGAAAGGACTTCTGTGGAAATGCCAGATGCCAGCCTGAGAATAGTGCCTTTGAGGAGCTGAGAGAAGTTTATCATGATAAAAATAGATGCCAAAGAGGAGTATGGTGAGAGGTAAGGCTGGGGAGGCAAACGGGGGCCTTATCATGAAGGATCTTGTCACTTAAGCTGGGGAGTTTGGACTCTGTGACAGGGGCTGAAAGTGGGTTTTATATAAGATTTGTAGTAGAAAGGCCACTCACAGTTTCAGGAATGGAGAGGAAAAGGGCAAAACTGGAGGTGGTGATATCAATCTCTGAGGACTGTGCAGCAATCCAGGGAAGACAGGGTGGTAATATGGCTGGGGGGAAGCAGCTGTCATGGAGAGAAGTGGAGAAATCTGAGAGGTCAATGGAGATTGGTGGTTCACGATGAGGGTGCAGGGGTCAATCAGGGAGAGTGGTTGGGAGACGCGGTTGACAAGCCATTAACGAGTGGATGAAGTGGGTGATTGATGCCCATATTCCTGGCTGGGCTGATTGGAGGATGGGTGGTGGTGCCTTTCACCAAGATGGGGAGTCCAGAAAGGGGAACAGGTGGGGAAGAAGGTGGCTCCAGATGTGTCCATGTGGACTCTCCTGAGTGGTCACTGAAGCAAAGGAAGTGGTTGGGGTAGTCCTAGAAGAATGTGTCGAGTGAGAAGAGGAGAGGTCTTAGGGCAGCATCCTGAGGAACCCTACATGTGCAGGAAAGCACACAGGAAGAAGAAGTGCAGAGGAGTCTGAGGGGCAGTAGCCAGAGAAGAAGACAGCTGGGAAAGTGTGGTAGATGGGAGCTTAGGGGAGAGAACACTTGAGAAAGCAGGAGGGAGGGGTCAGTAGGGCACCTGTAGCGAGATCAGGTAAGGCAAGGTCAGAGAAGTGTGCTTTGTACTTAGTGATGTGGAGGTCACAGGTCACCCTGGGGGAGGCAGTTTCATGGGTGAGGTGCGGGAAAGGCCAGGTGGCAGAAATTGAAAACTGTCACTCTTTTTCTTCTTAGGCTGAGAGCTACTTGGGGCAGCCAGATGGGCTCATGAGACTGGACTGTTGGAGATTCAGGAATTTTAAGAGCCAGTTGTTAAATCATTGGTAGCCTGCAATCAGCCACGGTGGGAATTTTACACCACAGAAATCAGTAAAGTCTACAAATCAGGGCTTCCTGCCCTCCCCCTCCTCCATGAGAGCGGGTTTACCAGCACACCACTGGCAAGGACTCTGTCTTTTTGCAATCCAGTGCCTGGAATTCAATAGCTAATCAATGTCTGATGAGTAAAGGCATGAATGAATGAATGCAACAATCCCAGAGTGCCTCTCTTTCATGCTGGTCACCATCTCCCCTTGCTGTCCTCTAGCTTCCTTGTGGGCCAGGATGGTGTCGTTTATGAAGGAGTGGGCTGGAATGTCCAAGGCTCCCACACCACTGGCTACAATGACATTGCCCTGGGCATCGCCTTCATGGGCACCTTCTCAGGTAAGAGGATGCCTTGGGTAGTAGTGGTCGTTGTACAGTCACATGTCACTTAACCTCGGAGATAAGTTCTGAGAAATGCATTGTTAGGCCATTTTGTCCTTGTGCAAACATCATAGAGTGTACTTACACCAACTAGATGGTATGGCCTACTACACGCGTAGGCTATACGGTACTAATCTTATGGGATCGCTGTCTTGTATGGGGTCCATTGTTGACCAAAACGTCGTTATGCGGCTCATGACTGTAAGGTGTTTGAAGGAGAGTATCTGACACGGAAGACAACGGCATCAGACTCAGGCATCATTTTAGTGCCTGAAAATGCTGGATTTACCTAGCTTCAAATTTGATGTTTGACTAAGCTCAGTGTGACCAGAGGTGACCCCCAGACAGAATGCCCACCCTAAATCTACTCCCTTCACACTCGACCAAATGTCTCTCTCTTTCAATCTCCAAGGCACATGTAAGACAAGAGGAAGAGATCTTTGTGGACGTTTTTTTTGCTAGGTTTTTACCACGGCAGCAAGGTAGGGACACTTGCCTTATTTGCCACAGCTGCAGATGAGCCTCTGTCTCTGCATCCAGAGTGCACGCTGAGAATTGTCATTGCTCAGAGCTCTTGATCAGAGTTTGTTTAGATTCAGGGGTGTTTTGCTGAGCCTCTGGGAAGAGGAGGCCATGTCACTGGGGCTGGTTCAGGTTGATACTAAAATGGGTGTTGGGTGGGAGCAAGGGGTGACCCAGGAATGTGCCTGGAGATGGGGCTGGGCATATGAATAGTGCAGGAAACATCAAGTGGCTAAACCAAGGTTTCTCAGTCCATGATTGACATTCTGGATCAGATAAGTCTTTGTTGTGGGGCTGCCCTGTGTACCACCCCTGGCCTCTACCACTAGATGCCTTTAACATCCTTCCCCTAGTTGTGATAACCAAAAATGTTTCCACACATTGCCAAATATTCCTGGCAGGGGTTAAACTGCACCCAGTAGAGAACTACCAATCTAAACTTTTGCAGTGGACAAAGGCTTTGTACATCCCCAGAATAATTATATATGTTATCTCAGGCTCTGCTCTTTTGATTCAGGAAGAACTTTGGTGCTGAGGAATCTGAAGTCTTGACTTGGTTTTCTGTCTGTCTCTATAGAGTGGCTGGCAACAGTGGATATGCTAGCTTGGTGGTTGGGGTGGATTAGGGGGGATCTAGGAGTGTGTCCTGCCCTGGGCAGGGCGCCCTGGAATCCTATAACTGATTGGCTGGCTGTGTTTTGCAGGTACCCCGCCCAATGCTGCAGCACTGGAGGCAGCCCAGAACCTGATCCAGTGTGCAGTGGATAAGGGATATTTGACTCCCAACTACCTGCTGGTGGGGCAGAGTGATGTTATCAAAACGCTGTCTCCTGGGAAGGCTTTGTACAACATCATCAGCTCCTGGCCTCATTTCAAACACTGAGGGAGCCCCTGCTCCTTCTGAGATTGCTCCCCCTGCCTCCTGGTTGCTGGGCCTCCCCTGCCCTCACCCTCCATCCTGGTTCAACACCTCGTGTCCCCTCTCTGCCAGCCCCATCGTGTCCCTCCTGTCTGGGTTAGCATAATCATCGCCTGCTGGCATCCTCCAGCATCACCCAAACCCCATATCTGGGCATTCCCAGCCCTCTGAATCTGGACCCAGCCTTCCTCTCTCCTCGTCTTCCTTTCCCCTGGGCACCCACCTCCTCAGCCAGATGAGACGCCAGGCTGGTCTCTGTTTGACTTCTCGTTCCCTTTGCACACGCCCCTCTGCCTGGTGTGCCTTCCCCTGCTGTTTGCGTGGCAGCCCCCAACTTCACCCATCAGCCAGGTCAATGCCCAGCCCCTCCTCTCTGCTCACTCTGACCTGTCATATTTGGATGCAGCCCTGAGTTTAGGGCTCAGTTGTTTATGGACGTGTCTGTTCTCTCCACTGGATTGTGAGGTTGTCCAGTTTTATTCATCTCTGTGTCCTCAGTTCCTCAGTTCCTACTGTCTGGAAGCCAGTAGGTGCTATAGATGTTTGTTGAAGAATTGGATGAATAAACAAATGAGTGGATCAAGTCCCTGTTCCCCTTGCCAGTTTGCTCTGTCATCCCCACTCTGAGGACGACTTCCTGGAAGGTCCCCCATCCCTCCAGCATTCCCTCTGTTCCTGTTCCCTCCCAGTCTGGGGCCAGAGCTGGCTCTAGTTGCTCATCTGTAGTGGTTGCTGTGTCTCTCGAGTCTTGTGTCCCTGTCCCCTCTGAGCTTCTGAGGGCAGGGACAGTGCACTCCTACAGGCCCAGGCCCGGGCTGTGTTCACACTAGCCACCCAGTGCCTGCTGCCTTCCCTTGCCTGCCGAGCCCTCTGGGCGTTGGGCTGAGCAAGGACCCAGAGTCATGGGACTCGGCAGCCCTCCATGCCTGGGCTGTTCAGCCTCTTATTGGAAGCAGAAGATGTGTTCTTTGTTTTCTCTGGATCTTAGTCTGGAAGAAAAGGGAGGAGAGACAGAGGATAAAAAATGGATAGGATAAATAAAAGGAAAAAATTGTGTATGAAGAGCTGTAGATTTGTACCACACTGTGGAAGATCTGTATCTCTCTTCTCCAGTCACACTGTGCTTCCGTACTGTGGGGATTTCCTCACATGTTCCCCTGAACTCTGGCCCCCTTCTATTTCCTCCTGTCCACAGACTCCCCTCTAAGTGGGCAGAATTTCAGGCAGTATATGTGTTTTTTGCTTTGCCTGGAGGATAAGATGTCTCCTGTGGGCAGTGGCTAATGGTTTCGCCTGGTGACCAAGGACTGGAAAGAGCAAGATTGGACAACTGGTGTTCCATATGAGTGTTCATCAACATTTGTTGCAGAGCAGAGTCTTGATAATCAGGTAGATAAGATGATTTCAGTCTGTTTCCCTAACCACCTGGGTACTTGCTCAAGGGACTTATATAAGTAAGTAGCCATGTGGCAGAGATGAAGGCTATACCTGGGCTCAACAACAATGTCCTTCCCTTCACTAAACCAATCTGGCTACCACTCCTGTTGGATGTTCAACCTGCCAGTGGCAGAGGCCAGTAATGAGTTCCCAATTGGCACTGTTACCTGGGAGATCCAGCCACCACCTGGCAACAGCCTGATTACCTAGTGGTAGAGTTAGCAGCTTGTCTTCCCTGTAAGAGACACTTGATATAGATATGCCACCTTGCACGTAATGCTTCTGCCAGCACCACCACCTGTGGACTTTTGGAATGCCTTGTTCACAATCATGGAGTCTCACACAGCATGGTTTCTGGCAAAGACACATATTTGACGGCAAAAAAGGCGTAGTGGAAGATGGTAGCCCCAGCACAAATTTTGAATGTCCCCCATAAAAAGACATAAATCAACTAAGATAGCAAAATGAGTGAAAAATCCATAGGAAAAATAAACACAACAAGATGACAGAGTATCCTCACAAACTCCAAATATGAGCAGGTTGGGACAAACCAACAAGAGCCATAAGATCCATATAGTATCAAAATCTGTGTAAGAGGAAGCAGAGGAAATAGCAGGGTGCCTGATGGAACTTAGAACCTCAAATAACTAAGATGTACTTGCCCAAAAGTTTAGATAGCTCAGCAGGTAAAATCAAGATGGGTTTACACACTCCAGCGGTGTGTGCATACAAGGGTTCTGCGGTGCATTTGCAGGACCTGGACCAGTCAGGTCCTATGACTCTCAACACTAGCCAGCCGAAGTTCCCTTCTAGGACCAAGTCCCACAGGGGAGAACATCTGGGAAAGAATCTAATAGAGATCATGGATAAGAGATACGGAAGAAAAGAAGAAGGTTCAGATAAGAGTGGGTATGGGGAGTCAAGCTCGGAGCTCTCTGAACAGAAGCAGCCACATCCTTGAACACTTACTTGACAAGGATGACGAAGAGGGAGCTCTAGACTGGTGATATTAGAAAAGCTATCTCAAACCATACATCCCCTTTAAAAGTTCAGGAAAACTAATTTTATGTAAAATAAGCAAGAGAAAGGAATTGAGGTCCAACCCCATATAAAGTTATTAGAAGACAAAAAGACAGTCAGGTCAAGAGGGTGGGGCCCTCATGATGGGATTAATGACCTTAGAAGAAGAGACATCAGAGATCTCCTTCTCTCTCTTTCTTGCCCCCCACCATGTGAGGACACTGTGATACGGCAGATGTCTACAAGCTAGGAAATGATATCCCACCAGAAACTGACCGGGCTGGCACTTGATCTTAGACATCTAGCCTCAGAACAGTGAGAAAATAAATTTCTGTTGTTTAAGTCACCCAGTCTATGGTATTTTGTTATGGCAGCCTGAACTGAGACACCAATATATCTTAATTTTAATTTTAAATCTCCAGATTTTTGAATAATCATGGCTGATGTAGTTGAATTACAAAACTAAAAATAATATGCAGGCCCCATAAAATGTGTCTCCAAGCAGTCAGGTGCAGCCTCTGCTCTGAGGGTAGTTGTTGGTGTGCTGGTCCAGGGTCCCCCTTCCGGCCCTGAAATTCTTAGGGCGGGGACCTTGTTTTGTTCATCTCTGTATTCCAAGCACCTAGCCAGTACCAGGTACAATGTGGCATAGTAAAAGTTTGTGATTTTTGGAGTCCATTCCAAATATTGCCCTCCCTGAGAAGATTTCGCTTTGTGTCCACCTACCTGACCCCTGGAGCTGCATCCTTGGCAGAAGACTCTTCGAGTTTCCCTGAACACTGTGCACCTCCTTCTATTAAGTTGGACTGCCTGGCACGCTGGTCTATGATTGTTGATGTCTCTGCTTCTCCTCTAGATTGTGAAATCCTTGAGGCCAGGGTCTTATCCATGGCTCTACCCTCAGTGCTTAGCATGGTGCTGGACAGGGCCTGGCCCACAGTTTCTGCTGAGTGAATAAATGCTGAATAAATAAAGGCATGAATGAGTGAATGAATAAATGAATAAATGAATGAACATCAAGTCTGTTCACCATTGTCCTGTGATTTTGCTGTAATTATATATAATCACATGATATATATTATATAACTATATATAATCGCATTATACATATCATTACACATTACATATGTTATATATGATGTATTTCGTTCAGGTGGAAAATAAAATGGGGGAGGAGATGTAAGGGAAGAAGGATCAGGAGATGTCTGGTAAAGAGCAGGTGGACCAACAGCCAGGGATTCCACATTTACTGTGGGTCATCCACAGAGGGCAGTCCTCACTGCGGAATCCCACTTCATTAGTGGGTCCCTTGTCTCTAAGGCCATAGCAGGCGGATGGTTATTCCAACCTCTGCAGGGCTTTGGGGCTCCAAGCTCTCACCTTTAGCCTGATACACAGGAGCCCCTGCCCCAGACTTGGCTCCTCACTGTAACCAACGTCCCCAGTTAATAGTGAGGGGGCACAAGGGGTAGGTTCTTCTCTTCAGGGGTGCTATTTGTCAAAAAGGGTGGCACCTCTGCTGGTGCATGAACAGAGGCAACTGTCCTGACTGTGTTTTTAGTCACTGGGAGGCAGCCATGGCGTTTCTTCAGATGGCTGTTCAAACACAAAACAGAACAAAGCAAAACAGAAGCTTATTCGCACCCACTCAAACCAGCATTCCTTTCTCTTGCCCAGGACAGAAAGAGTCTAATTGCATCCCGCTGATGCCTTTGGAGCTTTTCTCCTTCTAGAGAGCAGTCAAGGCCATTGAGACTTGATTTTGCCCTCCCCCATCACTGGGAGGTGGTGGGGGTTGTTCCACCTGATGCACAGAGTGACTGTTCCAAGTTCTCTTCCTCTAGCTCTGAAAGATCAGAGTCCCCTGTGCCCACTAGATGGTGGGGATGAGAGCTGTATTCTAGATTCAGCTTTGCCTGACTTTCTCTGTGGTCTTGAGAGTCTTTCCCTCTCGGGGCTTTAGTGTTCTTTTCTTTAAAATGAGGATTTTGGACCACTTCTATAGCTGATTAGAGTTTTCAGATTCTATGTTACCATGAGCCTCAAGGCTCCAGGTTCCTCTTCTGAATCAGGTTTACCTGCTGCTCCACCAGCAGAAGACACCCTTGTCCTATCTGTGTACACTGACCTCTCCTCCCTGGAGGAGTTTGAGGTCTGGAGAGAGTCACAGACTCCCAGAGGTGGGCCTTGAGCCTAGCACCTTCGAGAATGAATTCCAACCCTCTGCTCCTCAACCTCTCCCTTCATCCCAGGTCTCCTCTCAAGGTGCTTTCTGTAACCATAATATTATCTGGCGCTATTGTCTGCAAACTTCTTGACACTGTCTAATGCATTCATAGTCTACCCACTCCCCTGTGTCTCTTGTGCATTAGAAGGTCTCAGCATACTCTTCAAGACTCAAAAAGTGTCTTCAGACCGTGGTCCTGTCCTTTGGGCTCAGTCCAGACCAAGACTTGATCACTCTGTCGGCCTCTAGGCTCCTTTGACGTTCACACTGAGAACACTTCTGTTATCTTATTCCTTCAACCCACTCAACTCCAAATGCTTTCCTCTGACTTCATCTCAGTTGTCCCTGGTCACAGAGGTCATCATCTCTGGGGACTACCTCACTTCCCAAACTGAGAA